GAAAGAGTTTGCCAAAGCCAATTTAGCAGTCTGACTGCTGCTGCCACCGCCGCCGCCAAACAGTCTGGACCTTCAACAGAGTCACATCCAGCCGTTAACAGTTTGCCATGGATTCCACCTCAGTTCACGGCCAGAGAGGTCTTTAAAAACTGATCCAAGTTCCATCCAACCTCTCTTGGGGCTTTAAAGGTCTGAAAGGTCTCCCCCCCAAAAAAAACAAAAACACCTGCTGCAATTTTGTTTTGTCGTTTGTAAAGTTGTATGTGGGTGAGTGTGGCAGGGTGCATTTCCCAGTCCACCTACCCACTCACTGACATGGTCCCATTGGCCCGAGAGAGATGGTCCTGTAGCCAATAATCGGTCCCTTTACGCAACTGGTTCTTTCTCCGTTCTTGTGCTTTCTGCCGTAAGAACTTGTTATATAATAGAACAAAAAATGTAATTAAAAAAATACACAGATCTTTCTGAATAGAACTCGTACAGATTTTCTTTTGTGGGGGGAAAAATGCTCCCAAGTGTATGACTGTAATGTTCTAATTTTGCCCATTTGGTACAGTACAACGTGAACTCTGTTTTGGTGCTGTCTGATGTTTTGGACAGGATTTGTTACTACCGGGCATAGGCGGATGGGGCAGACCTACCAGAATACAAATCTAGACCAAAGTTCAAACTTCCATTGTGGCCACTGAGGAGGAAGGGCGACGAGCCCAGTTCCTGGGTAGGCCATCTCTGGTTCACTTTGGAATCCAAGAAATCCCAAGAAGTGTTTGGAAGTTCTTGTTCCACTGCAGCCTTTGACCCCCACGTTTGAGGCGGCAGTGTTCAAGCCATGAAGGCACAGCAGAGGCCTTGGCAGGCTGGAAGGGGCCCAGTCAACCAGCAGTGTATCCTGTGCGTGATATGAACAGGAGCTGTGCATGAGCCGTTCTTGGAGGGTCCTAGGTATTGTACAGGACACTGCTTGCAAGGGAGGCTGACGATCAAAACCCTTTTGCCCCCACTCCCGCTATGGAGACCTGTGCGCCTATCATTTGCTGAATCAGGAACTACCAGCGGAAGTCAAATGTGCATCAGAGTGTGGCCGCTGTGTGTGAGGTGCGTGTTGACATCCTGGCACCGGTGGATGAGCCTAAATGGTTTTTAGCACCACAGAGTTGACGGAGATGTTGCCGAAGACCACACCAGACAGGACTGAGACAGAGAGAGAGAGCAAATATAGCAGTGCACACAAGCCAAAAATTAAGTAATAAACATCAAGACGGTAACTTTTTTTAGAAGGGGAGCACAACAGAAACATTCTCACTCTGATCCAGAGGGAGGCCATTGGTGCTGTGATGCGTACTACCTTGTTCCCACCAAGTTATGGCAATAGAGAGGCAGTCCCCCACACTAAAAGGGATGGTGTGCAAATCTCTCTATTGGGAAGGCCATAGGAACACAAGGATGTGTGATTGGGGCCATCACTTCCGGTGGTTGAGGCAGTAAGTCATCTTCTGTTTAGATCCAACTGCACGGCCGGTCTTTTCTGCCATTCGCCAAAATGTTCCAACAACTGGCTTTTGCTGAAATTCCGACTGCAAAATGAAGTGCAGCTGCGCCCGGGGCAGCAAGCATTGGAAAGTCAGCAGGCCTTATGTTCCCTGAAAGATTTCTCTTCCCTCCCCCTTAGGGGGGAAAAATGTGAATTCCTTGGAGAGAAGAACTCAGCACCTGTGAGCCGGTTGTAGAAGGAGGTGGGTTGGTTGCTTTCCAGGTGCCCTCCCAAACCTTTCTAATCTGCACAGTTTAGCCTCGTTGGGAGGGGGGTCCCTCCAGGTGCCATTAAAGGTGTGTCCTTCTGGAATGGCCTCCCGGGGATGCTACAGATTGTACCACTGGGCACTTGGGAAGCCTACTCCGCCCACACACTTTCATTCTACAAAGTGGTATCAGACCGGGAGGGCACCTCAAAGCAGTGGGAGGGGCAGGAATCCTTAGCGAAAGAAACGGGACAAAGAGACAGCTCCATAGGCCACAACGGGTGAACCTTCAGGCCCCCAAACCAAGCCAGGATGAACCCAGCCTGTTCCTGCTTCAGAAGGACAATTTCCAGTGCCACCAAAACAGGCTTGCCAAGGTTAAGAGAAGCTGTAAATGTTCCGTGGTTGCGCCTCCATGCAAGACCCCCGTGTCTCCCTGTCTGATTCCCCCCCCCTTGTCTGAGTCACTGTGTCTTAAGATATACCTCTCTCTTTCTTGCTCTCTGTATATCTGCCTAGGCCAATATTTGTTCCTGGTAATGCAGTTACAAAATGTTTTATACCCTCTTATAAAGGAAGCAAAGCAAAAATAATAATAATAATAATTTTTTGTAAGTATGTTTTAAAAAAAAAAATTCTGAAGCCGAGCTGCAGTGCCGGCCACCACGTCTCCTTTAGTCTCTTTTGAAAGAAGGGGGCGGGGGATGTAATAATGTACAGAGAAAGTAGTTGGTGAGGCGGGGGGGGGGAATGATGTGGCTGTGCAATTTATGTACATTTGCAATTAGAAAAATTATTAAAGATTTATTTAGCTATTTTAAACCTCTTTGGGATATTTGTTCCCTCGCTGGCTACTGGCAGGTAGGTTAAGAGAGCCTCTCTGTCCTCACTGAGCCCTGACCTGAATAACCCAGGCTAGCCCGATCCTGTCAGGTCTCGGAAGCGAAGCAGGGTCGGCCTTGGCTCGTATTTGGAAGGAGTACGAGGGTCATGACACAGAGGCAGGCAATGGCAAACCACCTCTGAAAAGCCTCTCGCCTTAAAAACAACCACCAGCAGACAATCGTAGGATCTCCTGGTTATTCTACACACAACAAAGGTAAAGGTAAAGGTTCCCTTGCTCAAAAGCCAGTCGAATCCGACTCTAGGGTTGCGGTGCTCATCTCCATTTCAAAGCCGAAGAGCCAGCACTGTCCGAAGACATTTCCGTGGTCATGTGGCCGGCATGACAAAACACCAAGGCGCACGGAACGCTGTGACCTTCCCACCGAAGTGGTACCTATTTATCTACTTGCAATTTCTTGCTTTCAAACTACTAGGTTGGCAGGAGCTGGAACTAGACACAATACCATATGATATATTTATTTATTTATATTTGCATTTATATCCCACCCTCCCCGCCATTCGGCATGCTCAGGGCGGCTAACAGCATATACAAAAATACATTAAAATTCCGTTAAAACTCTGTCAATGTGAAAATCATACAACTTATATTAAAAGATTCTATTAAAAGATGGTGAGTCTTCTGATATCGGCTGTCAACTGAACACTGTCCACTGCCTCACGCCCAGCTATAAAACCTCGGTTGGCGGCTAATTATTATTATTATCCTCACTGGGCGGATGTCTCTCGGATTCTTCTGAAACAGTTCCTATGCTAGCAAGGCAGAGGAAAGCCAAGATCAGCTTTATTTTTGAGGAAGAAATTATTTGAGGGAAGAACATTTCGCATTGGGTTATCTGCCCTGGATTCAATGCTGTTGGGGTGAGGGTGTTTTTTCCTGGCTTCGCAATATCATGGTGCATTCATGCATCTGCTGGGGTCCCCCTGGTTTTCTCCAAAGTTTCCCAAAGCTACTTTGCTGTGACATTTTGGATAAGATCATAGTACAGCCCAGATGGCAGCTGTGTGGGTCAGAAAATTTGGATTTTCTTGCACACTTGGCAGCCATTTTCCTCGATCCTGTTCCTTCGGCAGCCATTTCATCCCGCCCCAACACCTGGCCCACTTTTTATTCCTTTAAAAAATCTGCACGCAAATATCTTAAAAGCAATTACTATTTTAACAACATGTGCGCCAGGTCCTCTGCAATTCTCAGCTTCTGCTTTTTGAAAAAGGAGATCTTTAGCCCTTTCCCCTGCAGAGATAAAAGGGCAATGGCAAATATGTGCAGCAGAATAGGCTAGAAACTTTTTATTAAATGAAACCTGTGGATTCACAGACGCTGTTGCGCACATTATAGCGGCATAAGAATATTCCAGTGCTGGTGTGTGTGATTGCGAAAGCCTGTGTGGCTGGGGGCGGGGGGTGGTGGCTACTCCTGGGGGGCTGGAACGGGGAAGCCCACTGCCCTTTTCTCTGCAGCTGCACCAGGAACAGAGAAGCCACACAAGCCTCTCCCCATGTGGCAACCACTATACACCGCAAACCTTTGGCTGGGGCTTTACAAAAAAAAGTAGGACAAATTTTTCTCCCTCCCCAATTTGCTGCCTTTTTCTTTCAGACACCGTCCTGTCTGTCACCCTCAAAAGGATCGTTTCTCAGCCCAGTTGGGGGGGGGGGACTGCAAAACCAGGTGATAGTTGTGTATTAAAACATACCTGGCCTTTCCTCTTGGTTCAAGGCAGCTTACACTAATGGAAGAAGAAAAGAGATTGGATTTCTACCCCACCCTTCACTACCCAAAGGAGTCTCGGAGCAGCTTACAGTCTCCTTCCCTTCCCTTCCCCTCCCCACAACAGACACCGTGTGAGGTAGGTGGGGCTGAGAGAGTTCTTGAGAGAACAGCTGTGAAAGAACTTGTACCTGACCCAAGGTCACACCAGAAGCTGCATGTGAAGGAGTGGGGAATCAAACCCGGTTCTCCGTGCTCCTAACCACTACACCAAACTGGCTCTCCTTGTAAAAAGTACATCCACAGCTAAAACCAAAGATAAAATAGCAAGCCCCAAATCCCCCCTTGCCTGGCAAACAGGCAGGCCTGGCAGCATCTCCTGAAGATCTCTGTGGAGGGCCTCCCCCCACCGCTTTGGGGACCCCATTCCACAGTGCTGGAGCCAGGGTGGGAAAGGCCCAGGCTCTGGTCAGTGCCAGACAGGCAATCCTAAGTGATGGGAGAAGCCAGCAGATGGGCTGCCTGATAACCATAGCTGGCACATTGGAAGGAGATGGTCCTTCAGATGGTCCTTGAATTGAACTCTGAAACAGACTGGCAGCCAGCATAGCTGTTTC